TAAAAAACAAAGAAGAAGAACAATCAAACTTGATTTTTGTGAACTGTTGATCACTGATTATAAAATCTCTGCATTTTTTTGTTTTTTTTTTTTCATTTTTACTAACAAATAGAACACCAACATCAACAACTTTGAGTTGAAACTACTTATATATAAAAATATTAATTAAAATTGGTATTTGGCTACATAAAAGTCAACACCCTTCTCCAATATTTCTTCTTTTCTTAAATTTTTACTCTTCAAATTTTGAGCTTACGTTCATGCCGGCCATACATGTATAGTTTAAAGTGACATAACAATTTAGCAATTCATGAGAGTTATATATAGCAACACTTAACTACGAGTTGACTGAAGTGACCCCTGAGGGCAATATTGATGATTTTGCATATTAATATTTATAATTGAAAGCTGTTAGTTAGTTGTGGTTTAGAAAGTGTAATAACCTTTAAATTTCTGCTTAGAGGCAGTGATAGAATAGAAAAAACGTAGGAAATATTTCAAGTTATGTACAAAATAGATGAACGATGAAATTTGGTTTTAAATATCTCCACAAAATATTATTTAATGAATATATAAAACTTATACATAATATATAAATGTAAAACAGATTTGGTCAAACTTATATACATATACAGGGTGTAATGTTTCAATTTGATTTAATTTCGGGAAATGATTCATATAGATTCACATTTGCAGAGTTGCAGGGCATCAAAAACTTTGAAGAAAACTTTAAATATAAAAACACACATATCTGAAGAAAACTTTAAGAACAACCATTAAATTAAAAATAGTTCATTGTTAAAGCTGCAATAGTTATAATATATTACTACAAAATATGCGTCTAATAAACAACACGTAATTTTTTATCTATTTATTTATGATTTATAATTAATCATAAATTAAGTAGGCATATAGTTATAGTAAAGTAGGCATATAGAAATGTGTTCATTAGTACTCCTGCCATTTGGGTAGTTTGTGAATTCTAGTTAAAAAGAAGCAATGGGGACTGCTGAGTAATAGAGTAAAAAAAAGCTAATTTAGAAATCATTTTAATAATCAAATGAACTAATCGGTACATCAATTTTCAATTTTTTTGTGTCTATTTTTTTTATATATTACTAATAAAGTACAAATTACTTTAAGTTTTTGTTACTTAAATTCAGCAACATTATAATTTATAATTTAAATTTGAACTTATGCTTCCTAAATAGAATTACCTCATTTATTTACATAATCTGGCATGTATATCGGAATTAATCACCAAAGAGTAAGTTACCAAAAAATTTGACATATGTTCCTCTACCACCATAAAATTGCGATCATCTTGACAAAATGTACAATCAACTTGATTTAATGAAGTAGACTTGAGTGCATAAAATCAAGCTGTAGTTTTATAACAAAAAGTAAAATAGTTGAAAAAAGTATATTAATATTCAAAAGAATACTTCTACACATACACAATGCCTGGGTGACGCAAAAGGTTGTCCAATTGCAAAAATTTCCTACCAAAGCTGTTTATGCGGAAGTCCACTAAAGTGGGATTTACACAGCACTTTGGTGTCAACTTTTACAAGAACTTGTCAACTGTGTAGTTTTTTTTTTTGTTTTTTTTTTGTGAAACACTTTTTTAAGTTATTCCACCTACAGCCACAAAGCAAATGAGATCCAAGTACGCAAAAAGCAAACCTTTAGGAATAAAAATACAATATATAATACAATAAAAAAAATATTTACAGCAAAACGCACAACAAATATAAGGGACTTAAAGTACTGACAAAAAATGTTTCCTTTCTTTTTTTCCAAGTTACAAAAAGCTGTAAAAAGTTTTGCACAAATTCAAAAGTTTATTTACGTACAAAATATATAATATTTTCATTTTCACAGATGGTCAAGCAAATTCATTTTCCCCACGGTTTTGAAGTTGTTATTGGCCATGGACCACAAAATGCGAAAATAAGGAAAGAAATTATTAAGAATAAAAGATACCAAAAAGAAAATAAGAAAAAGTATAAAATAATATTAATAACCCAATATTAAAAAAAATTATAACATTCGCAATAAAAAAAGTATTAAAAAAAACATGTTAATCTACACTGCATGTGGCAAATATTGTAATTTTAACTACAAACTGTGCCACAGATATACACGGTTTCAAAACGTAACAAATTTTGCTCAAACTGCTGTAATTTTAGCACCATCAACACTTTCGTTTAGCCTTTAACGAAATTTCATAATTTCACTTTGTTTTGCATTAAATTGTTGTTGTTGTGGTTGGTTTTTAGTACAACGTTGGCAGCCAGTTTATGTTTTATATCTGCACGATGCAGGTTTCCTCCTTACAATTCCAGACAACATTTCCAGCCATATGCGCACCATTGAACACATTCAAATCCGCTGCTGGTTTATTTGATTCTACTAGTTTTTTGTTACGCTTATTTTCCTCTTTACAGCATTTTGTTGACACCACAAAATATAGTTTTTCAAAGTACAATTCTATAAAAAGTAACTTTTTAAGCTTAAGCACAATTCTCCCAAGTGACTATGACAATGCAAGCAATATAGTAAGAAATCCAAAATACAGGTGGGGTTAACTGTTGGAAGTTTTATTTGAAGTTTTTCCCTTCATTATTTTGCATATTGTATGTTGTATATCTCTGAAACTGTCCGCTTTGTCATTAATTTTCTATTATTTATAATAATTTTTTTGCAGTTTCATAAATTGTCAGCGTTTGTATTTTTAAAGTAAAAAAACTTTATGACGCTTAGAGAAGATAACTTCTTTAAATAAAGAGTTAAGTTAAAATAAGTTATTTGAAATTGTTTTATGTATGGAATTAAAGCCGGTTGGTAATATAAATACTTTTTACCGATGGTTTACACAAAGAGGGGTTTAGGTTTAATTTCACCACTAAATATTTTGTTTCATTTACGCAAGATATATGATTAATATCTACCTATTATTTATACGCTTTTAAAACAAACCACTTTAAATGAATGTTTATATGGGCTTATTACTTTTTGATCTTCGTGCTTTTTTTCCATTTTATCAATTATTTAACACTAAAACTATTAAAATAGTGAATTTCAGTAAAAACCGACAATGATACAATAACAAACTAAATCGTAAAACTAATTTTATTTAAATATTAATTTTTAATTTCAAATATGTAGTAACTGTTTGTTTAGTTGGAAGTGCTCGAACAGTAATGAAACAACAAACACAAAAATTGTTTGTTTTAATTTATTGACATTTAGCTGACCATACAACGCTGTTTCAAGTATTGCCAAATACACATCATCAGTGATTTTAGCAAACATTCGAATTTTTATTAAATTAGTTTATAATCCGTATATGTATTATTTGACGTAGTGCAAGTGTCAGGCTTAGTGCCTGACAAATTAGAAGTGATGACTAATCGTTTTATGCTATATCTAGACAAGACTCTACAAACTTTCAATGCTCAAGTTCAAAGTTTTAAGTTTAAGTTCTTAATTTTTTTTGTTGTCTTAGTATATAATTTGTTATTGCTTAGTTTAAGGGCGATTTTCCAATAAATTGAACTATACTTTTTCGAACAGTATATTCCACCGTTCTCAATAAAATACAAATAATTGAAGCGTATGTTATAAACATAGATTTTATTATAAATCAATTGTTTTTTATCTTTTTTTTATCTTTATTTATTTAAGTCTTAATTAAAGATATTATAAGGTTCATTTTTCAGTCTTATATCACGCTTCCAGATATTGTAGCCACTGTTGATTAAAAAAGTTTTGTTAAAACAGATTTACATTTATTAATTAATGATCCGGCTTCTCTTGCTTAAACTCTAGACTTCAAGATGAACTTAGATTATTTTACATATCTACATTAAACGACTTATTAAAGTTGAATTCAAACCGAATTTTTTCTTAACAATTAACCATCTGATGTTGGGTACATTATGAGATTTTCAACTATTCAGCAATTTAGCTTTATGGTCATTGTCAATTAAATTGAATTCTAATCCTATGATTTACTTGAGTTATCAATTATTTTTAAATAATATTATTAATTTGTTGTTAATATTTCACTACTAGTTTTTTGGATATATTAAACCTTTTTAGTTAAATATAAGAATGAAAGACTATATTGATATTTGAAAAAAAAATATATTAATTTTTCGTTTCTACACTGTTTATAATTGTTCAAATAACACAGCAAGTTTTTTTTTTGTGTCGAAATTAGCGAAAATTATCAGTTTGAAATTTAGCCCATTTTGTGACTCGAGTTATTCCTAGGTATAGTTATCATATATATATATCATGTTTGGGTTAAATCTGTCATTAGTTTTTATTATATTATTTTAGATTTTTTGTTGTTAGTATTATGTAATCTTTGTTTAATAATTTTAGAAAAAACTATTACCTAAGTTAGTTGCCTAGGTTTTAAGCATACTCAGATAGTTTTAAATTTATTCAACAAATAAAGACTTATGATTTTAGTAATCTTTGTCTAATAATTTTAGAAAAAACGTTACCTAAGTTATTGCCTAGGTTTTAGCATACACAGATATTAATATATATATATATATATGTATATTTTTTATTTTGAACATATTAAATAGCCTAATTAGCTTAATTTTTTGTTATTACACAAAAGTTTTGTTCCTTCTGCTTGATACATAAATATGATTTACTGAAAGATAACAGAAAACAAAAACACATATTTACGCCAAATCATTGAACAACTTACAATTTTTAATCCTGAGGCTGTCTGCCGAAGCATCACTTCATTATGTTGCACAGAAAAAATTCTGAAACTTTTTCTTTAATAGAAAATGGCAGAGTTGTCTCGTATTCTTTGTCCCATAGTTTTTAACTTTTATAGAACTTTTTTTTTTTTGAAATTATTCTTCAGTTGCGCTTATTTTAATTACACGCTTTAATTCGTTTGTTTATTTTATAATCTTATTTTGTGATTTTATTTTTATTTTTATTTTTTTTTTATTTGCAGATCCGTTGAACTAATTGCATTGCTCGCCATATCCTGCACCTTCTTTCTCTTTATGCACACAAACAAACTAAATAGTCGCCTTAAAGAAATGGAAGTTAAACTACAACCATCCGAGTTTTCAGCTCTTGGCTTGACTGGTGATAATCACGTCAGTGGCCGAGATGGCGCAAGTAAGTACAATAAATAAACTTTATAAAGCTAAGCAGAAATTAACCAGCAAAAGTAAGGCTTTCATAAATTTTACGCTTTGATGCAGGCTAAAAGAAAAAGTACGAGTATTTTAGGTCAAGCTAACTGAAAAGTTTTAAGCATACTTTACATAATTTTTTGTAAAAAATATGATAAAATTTGAGTCATTTTTGTCAAAACTTTATATGGCATATATTAAAAAAAAATTAATATTTTCAAAAATTAATTAAATTTACAAACTTTTAGAAAAACTCGAATTATAACTTAATGGACAAATAAAAATGATTGCAAATATTCTAATGATATTGCTGAAAATAAATTTCAAATTTAAAAAAAATTATCAGTTTCATTAACAATAACATATTTAAGAATATTTTTATTTTTATTTATTAAAAATATCTTAAAAATAATACTTTAATTTTGAAATTAAAATTTTTATTTTGCACTAAAAATCACATGTTCAGACACACCTTTATTTCGCAAAAATCTTAATTTCACCTTCGTTTCAGCGAAATTAAGTTGTTTTTTCCATATACAAAATTCAATTTAAGGTTAGAATGAAATTAAAAAAAATGGCCTCAATTTCGTTGGAAGGAAGGCTGAAATTAAGGGACATTTCAAATGCAACTATGCGTAAGATAAATTTTAAGCAAAAGATAAAGTTGAGATAACGAAAAAGTGTTATTTTTTTAAATAAATGTCAATGACTGTTGACGGTTGAAAACCGGGAATTTATATTAATAACATAGAAAAATGCCACAGATTGTTATTTTAAAATAGTTTTTTTTTTTGGTTATTTATAACATATTTTAGATGTATTGAGTCCTCAAATTAAAACAATTTTTATATGAAATCGAGTATATGTTTTTAATACAAAAATTATATTATTTATTTAAAAATATTTTTATCTATACAGTTGCAACATATTCATACACACCATTACATGTAATCAATAAAATATAAATAAACATAAAAAATGTATTACACTAGAATAATGAAAACTTTAACTTTGTAATGAAACCACGTACGCAATGCTATTCGCATTGTTACCACCGACACCAACTCCATTCCCAAGGTAAAGTTTTAATGCAGACAAATACATATATAAAAAAAGACATAAGTTAAATAATGGCAGCATAGCAGGAACTTCAATCATAACATAAAGTTTTAACAAATGTACTTGATGATTTTGACATTTAACTGACAGTTCCTCTGACACTTCAATCATACGTGATGGTTGTATGCGCAACTAGGGAAATCGTAGCTCCATTTTATATTTACGAGTATGTTTCAATAGCAAATCACTATAATAAGTAACGAAGTTTTGTAGTTTTTATTCAATTTTTTATACCTTTGAACAATTTTCTTTTGCTGTAAAACTTCAACTTCCTAAGAATTTATAAATTTAATATCAATAATTGCACTGTATTGTACAATGTTATGGCTAGTATATTTCTATATAAAATTCTTGTTCCGCACAATTGAATACTTTCAATGTTACTTAAACTAGTTGCAAAAAAAGATAGATATTTGTCTCGGTAAGTGAAGTAAGGCTATTATTAAATTTATAATAAGCCCGATTTCTTTGTTATGTTTAATAAGTTTTGGAATGTATTGAGGTTATAACCGCAGCTATAATAAATTTTCAATATTATACACTATAAAATTTATAAATTTCATAAAATTATGAATTCACATTTAAGTTGTAAACAGTAAAGATATTAATTTTAGAAATAATAATTCACCTAATACTTTTGATAAACTTAAAAAAAAATATTTAAAAAACTTTTACACTCACATTTACATTTAGAAACATTTTCCTAGAAATTAATTTTTTGGTTTTTTTAACGTTTCTTTTTATTACTGGTCATTTGCAGTCCTTATTTACTGTTAGTTACCAATTTAATGAGTTTTAAGTTGAAAGCATATATTTTACTTCAGTAACCTGATTTTATTTAAATTAAGTAGGGTTATATATAAGCAGTATGGCATTTTCAATATATGACTTGATTTGTTTAACAAACGATGTTTAGATTGATGTTTTTTATTTAATTTAATTATTCTAACTACCAACTAAAATTTTTATCTTTACGAAAAAAATAAAACATATCTTGTTTAAAATTCTAGTTCAGTTAATTGATATTTTTTATATTTAAAAGGGTTATATATAAGCAGTGTTTAACTAATGATGTTTAGATTTTTTTTATTTTATTATTCTAACTGCCAACTAAAATTTTTATGTTTGTAAAAAAAATAAAACATCTTGTTTAAGATTTTAGTTCAGTTAACTGATATTTTTTGTATTTAATGGGGTTAAATATAAACAGTGTTTAACTAATGATGTATGTATAATGTATGTTTTACCAATTAGTGCAACAATATATCGTCTGCGATGAATATGTAACTGCTGCACAAAATATTTGTGTAAATATTGGAAACTATGTACCCTTATACTTTTTTACTTAACAATCCAAAAATAATTAAAAATAACATTAATGACTGGCAAAAAAATAATAACTTGAAATACGTTTTATATATACCATATACAAAATTAGAGTTTCAAACTCTACTTTCATCAATAACTTTTATCCATTAATACATTAATTGAACTTGTTAAAAAACAAATTAAATGTAAAATTATACAAAAAATAAATTAAAGTTCAAGTCTTTTACTCTTTACGAAAAGCACTGCCTTCAACAAAAGTTGTGGTTAATGTCTTTACCTCAGATTGTGGTTTTAATGCTGTGAAGCGAAAATAATTTACAACCAATTTCTAACACTTAACATACTTTACATCAAAGTAATTATTATTCAAAAATTGTATGTTAAATTAAAGTATTCTTTAAAAATAATCATATTATTTATAAAAAAACATAAATACAACTTTTCTTATGCTCGTATAATAGTAATCATCTTAAAGATACCATTAAGTCTCGTTTAGGAATCATATATCCTACTACAATAAATTAATAATTAAATAAAATATCTTAAAAATTTATCTACTTGTTAAGAATTAATTTAATATTTACTCCTATAAAATAGTTTTAACTCATCAGAAATTAATTCACATAAAATTTGATAGATATAACTATCAGTAATCTATTACTAACAGTTAATAACTAATATGCTTGATATATACATTCCAGTTTTAAGAGTTACCTAAATCATTTTAAGCAAATTATTTTCTTCGATATTAGTTTCTGATAATTCTTCAATGTCCTCAAAAAAAGTTTTAAACAATTGTAGGTTCGCACGTTAATATTTCGTTATCTGTACAATTAGTTAGGCAGTGAAAAAATGTCTCTCTCCTCTTTTTGTCATTTCCTCTAACTCCGTTTTCTATTTAGCAATGTTCGGTTAAAAGTAAGATAGTATCACCGATTTCAATTCTATCCAAATCAATTAGTTTTCTGCTTTAAGATAGTTAAATGAATGACCAAATTTGTTTGGTTTGACGCATGTGATCTTATTTCGCCGACAAACACACAACATCTACCATTCATTTACTATACACTTATCCTAATAGCTACTGTAACTGTAGCTTAAAACATTCGTCTATGGAAGCTTCACACAAAATTAAACCAATTGGTTTAATTTTTGTTAACGATATTTAACATATAAAATTAACATTCTGATTTTGTACCAATATACGTACATCTACTAAAAAGTTGCCAAAGTAGTCATTACATTTCGATCTCAGAACGTTCAAATATAGCAGCTATATACAAAATTGAAACTATTTGATCATATTTTAATATGCTCAATATTAAAAAATCTTTACTAAATTAACATGTATTTACAGCATCTACTAATATGACACCTATATATTTAATTATGAACTAATCTGGAGGAATGGCATATGTTTTATATTTCACATTTCTGTTATATCATATATGTAATTAATATAGGTAATATTGAAAAGAAAGTTCGTGTAATGCAGAGTTCAAGACAACTAGAGAATATAGTCAAAGGATGTCAGGCATTACATTAAAAAGTAAGAAACTAGGCGCACAGGCAAAGAGACAAATATAGATATAGAATGACAGAATGGAAGATGATGTTTAAATGAACGTCGCTCGGACGAATCATTTCGTTTAGATATTATATATTTTACAAAAAACTTACCTATATTTTGGCACAATCATCTCAACCTTTATATATATACGAAGTGTATAAAAACATTAGTAAAAACCCTCTAAAATGTAATTTTAATTTAGGTAAGAACATGTTCAAAATATCATAAATATTGTGATGTAAGATAAAGTTAAATATTATTCAAGAGTTTGCAGAAAATATTTTTTTCAATTACAATAAAATTATTTATTTTTCCAAACTATTTGAAAAATATTATATTTATGTATAATTTTAAATGAGCAGCAGCCTATACTTTTAGAAAACATTTTAATTACAATATTTATTGCAGACATAATTAATATATTTGCGCTTTCATATATATTGTTTTCAAAATACATAGTATAGTTATATTAACATAGTATAGTATAATTAGTATAATTATATTAAGCAATTTTGTCTATGGGTTAATGTAATAAATTAAATGATATAATAAAAAAAGATTTTTTTAAAGGAAAAAATTCTTTGACAAATTAATCTGAATTTAATGTGTGCTATGCATAATGTAGTGAAAATTTTCTGCGGTTTTTATGCAGAATTAACTTGCAACATACGCATTGAAAGCCAAAAGTTATTATGCGAAATATATTATGAGCCGAATTTTTTCATTTTTATTATTATTTTAAGTGAATTATGCGTGTTCGAGTGCGTATGCATAGCAGCTTGTAAATGGTCACATTACATGTTTTTAATGTTTATATACAATATATGATAATTATTTTCTGCGGCAAACTCTCAATTTAACTGTTAATTTAAAATTAATTTTTTATTGCCTCACATAAACCAAAACTATAAGTATAGCAAGAATGTTTCAGTTTTATTCATAAAATTGGTTAGCTTTTCGTATTA